GATTTTATATTATTTTATTTTATATAAATATCTTGTATTTTCCCTTGAGTTGAAAAGTAACTCAAGTTGAGATTTTAAGATAAACCAAGAGTTCAATAAAGGAATTGTTAAATTCATTTACTATTGTCTTTTGTCATATCTTCATATAGGCATGATTGTGAGATTATCTTATATTTAATTCGACAGATCGAATTAAAAGTTTATCATTTAAGTTTACAGATACCAAGCCAACAAAAGTGGTGATTTCTGCCAGGACTTCTAGCTTTTTAGTGGATGAATTTTGATCTCTATCTCACATTACAACGAAATCATATTCAACAACACTCTGAAAACAGAAGTTACCTATCAACTGACTACACTTGTATTATTTGTTATTCACCTTCAGAAAAAGTATCTTTACCATTCAAATATTTTTAGAATTAGATTTATACTGAATTTAGTGCTCTTGTATATACTGAAAAAATAGTAACTTTGTTTTATCAATATTAATAACACTTTAGTAAATTACAACAGAATCATTTTTAACAATAAGTTGAATTATAAATTATTAATTATAATAATTAAAATGCAAATTTAAAATAAAATCATATGATATATTATGCGATATGGCATCATTTGACAAAATGTCTAAAAAAGGAAATACAAATAAAATTTTGAATAAAGTAAATCCTATAATTGAACTAGAGTTTAATCCCTGGATAGATCATATAAAAGAAGAAGAATCTCCAAATGAATTAGAAGAAAAGATTAATCTAATACCATCTTCTATTGAAACTTCTCTAAGTAATAAAAATTAAAATTTAGTTAAATCAACGAAAGAATTTGAAGCATTAAGAAAAATATTGATATTTAGTTACTTACAATTCTATCAAATAGTAGCAAATAGTTTTGAATATTCAAAAGTAATACATTCTAATAAATATGAAGTATCTAAAAAAGTAGAATATCAATGGAAAAATAAAAAGAAAAAGAATTTAAATTTTAAATCAAGTCATGTGATTATACTGCATCACTAATTTTCAAATATAATAAATTAAAACAAAAATCTCTGACGTGAATTTCTTGTAATTTACTGATCAAAATTTTGTAAAATTAATATCAATGTGTTTATCAAGTTGAGAGCATCACAATGATATATATTTCATTTTTAAACGGATTACTAGATGCTGAGATAATTAAAATTGAAGAAATGCTATTTTATTATTATTATTATTAGATTATTAATTAATAAACAATATTTTAGTATTATAGAAAAGGTTATCACTGAGTCTAAGCAAAAGTGAGAGTTTTGGGTTTTTCACTCATCCTGTAAAAAAATGAGAGAGATTGAAGAAAAGTTTTGAATAGCAAATGATTGCGAATACCAGATACTGGTAGAAGGAAAAATGCCCTAAGGTTTTAAAGTCTGAGGAGTAGAATCATTGTGCTAATGAATTGGAAAAGGTTTATCAATGACTTTAGATTTTTAAAGAATTTATTTAAAGAAAAGATTTTTAATCACATAAAGTGATAATATTTGACGAATTATGACAAGAATATAAAGAAAAAATTTTATAACGGTCACGTAATATCAGAAAAGAATTACAAGAGTAAAAGTAAAAGTGTCAACAATGTGATTGGTAGCTCTTGAAATAATTGTTCTCTTAATGTAAAATTTTCTTGACGAATTTCTCGAACTTCTTAACGAGATCCTGTAGCCTGAATAGAGGAAAAGCGTACATTAGAAATGTGAAGTTTGGCATCTTTGACCAGTGAATACCAGTTCACACAAAGGTTAACTTAATAAACCCAATAATATTCCAAATGGCTACATATTGATATAAGATAATAGAGGCTGTAACAACCAGTTCTAAGCAAGAAAAACTCACGTTATAAAAATCTATAATATAGTGAAAAAGGCAAAAAGTTAATATGCTGCAGTCATATTAAATGAGATCGAATGTATTGTCACAGTCCACACAGATGACAAGCATGCATATAACCATCTACTCTAGCTAGGCTGGTATAAAGTATACATTTTCTATCGCCTCCTAATTTAGAACTATTCTTAAATATACCTAGGTTCACCTTGAAAAATTCTATCACACTTGCATTCTCTTTGACGATATAATGCTTTACGTTTATTAGAAGAAGATCTTTTCTTATTAACACGTGTTATATTTATTTTTTTTTGTTTGTATAAAAATTTAAAATTTTGCAATAATTTTGGAAAGAAAGTGAAAAATTTGTGGAAAATAGGAAGAATTCTTGAACAAATATTTATACTCAAAAGAAGTAGCTATAAACATTTCTCAAGATTGTAAGAATTATTTTCTTGTAGAAAAATAAACAAAAATCTATTGGATCGCATTGTATGATAATCATTGCATGGAAATCTATAGAATAAAATCCTGTTTAAAATTGGCGTAGTTGATCAACATTATCAAGTAAGGCAAAATTGGGAGACCTGGGGTTAAAAAAAAGGTATCTAGAAAAGCTCCCAATCATAAGCCCAAAACTCTTTTAGCAATACGAATCCATAATATAGAATTCAGATTTAAAAACTGCACTGAGGCTCAATTTCGTTATCATATTCCTTGCTATAAATTTAAGCTTCGGAAGCTAAAATCAACTAAATTGTTATAACCTTTCTAGCCCAATATTTAACCCAATTTGAATATTAAAAAAAAATACTATACTATTTGCCTTTGAGACGACGCGAGTTTAGCAAAAACCAAAGGTTCGAAGTCAAACTCGTGGAGTCTTTACAAACCTTCTATGTATACTAATATTTATGCTATACTGCTTGCCTTTGGGAGTAGACTCGAATATTGAGGAATGAAGTGACGAAATATTCGAGGCTACGATCTTAACAAGCTTAAGATGCATACTAATTTTTGAGATATCCTAGAATTAATTCTAAAACTGATTCTTAGTCGTAATCAAAGGGTTAAAT